AAAATAGGCGTCAGTGAGGTAATTAGGGAATCCAATGGCACACTGATTCACGATCAGCAAAGCCACCTTCATCGATGGGGCAACACGTCGAGGTTTATTTCAACTTGCCCCCGTCGACCTGTGAACTATCATCCTCCGCCGCGACTACGTGAATTCTGCCAGTGGATGCCAGTCGTTCATCTGAAATGGAGATATCTCGGGAAATAAGCCATCTCAAAAGGTATAAGGCCTCCGGCTCTGATGCGCTATCGCAATCCCTTTTTAAGGACGGAGGCCAAGCTTTGATTTCGGAGTTACCAAAACTCCTGGGTTGAGTATCGGAAAAGGAAGAGGTTCCTGCTAGATGGTGTGAATCGGTGATCATACCGATTTACAAGGTGATAGATCCTCCTGTGAAAACCACAGAGGAAATAGTTTATTCAGCATTGCTTCTCAACTTCAGCTGGAACAAGCTGAACTGAGCATCGACGTGTTCCCCCATCGATGAAGGTGGCTTTGCTGATCGTGAATCAGTGTGCCATTGGATTCCCTAATTACCTCACTGACGCCTATTTTCCTAGGACTCGTATTCCTAATTAGACGGAAAAGATTGCGACTATCACTGATAGCCGCAGCCTTCTCCATCTCTCTGCACTTCCCTACCCACCACTTCTCGCGGTCATTTCTCAGACTTGATGAGCTGGCGTTTAAGGGATTTGCGCGTTTTGTCGTATTTTGATCCGAAAGAATGGCTCTGCGAGCGTCCCGTAGGGCAACCGAGGTTGGGGCAATCCATCGGTTTTTATTTGATCGTGAGCCAAAGGAAGATCTGGCATGAGGGTACGAAAACCCTAACCAGGAGTCTGGGTCACATAGGTCCGGTAATACTCCCTGGATGGGGACCTCGGAATGATGGTCACCGATGGTTAGAGACACTGAGTGATATGAGTAGATGTCGTAAACAGTGGCGTTCGTGTATCTTCTCAATTTCTTTGTATCATTACTCCACTGATTTTTTCAATTTTTTCCTCGATCCTACTTTCAACTTTTCCTGTCACTATCCTCATGTTCATCCAAATGGGCTGCCGAAAGACAGCAATCAAAACCAGCGCACGATAAAGCATGGTTAATGGTTGTACAAACAAAAAACTAGACTAATTCGCAATACGTTTCCATGAGACAGTGATTGGAGACGTGTGTACGCACAGTTCGACTACATTCTGTATGTTTACCAGAGAGGTTCGCTTTCTTTTCCTGCCTCTAAAAATAGACCCAATCCCTATCTTCCTTACACATTTTCACTTGACTTGTGTGCATGAGTTTGGCAGCGATCAGTGAATTTCGCTTTGTTGTTTTACGCTGTACAATGAAGCTGATGATAAGTAATAAAGGGTCTACGTATTTAACTTCTCAATTGGACACTTGAGATCACATTCAGAAAGAAATCAAATTTCATTTTTAAAAATGTATTTACAGAATTACTGTACAAAGTTATTTTGTCGTTACCGGTTCTGCTGGTTTTTTTGGAGCGGACAGACTATCGTTCTGTAAGCGCCGGACGAGGGGAGGAAAAAGTAACAATGCAGATGAATCAAACCGACGGGAAATAAACCTACCGCTTTTGTCAACCATTCCTCATTGAAAGCACTCAGGTCAGGTGATTCTACGAATGGGAAACAAAACCTTATGGACGAAAACCGGTCAACCAGGATTACACACAACCTACTCGCCTATTTTGATCAATTGACCATAACGGCCCACATTAAGTGTCAGGCAACCGCCACGAACAGTTGTGTTGCCCTGAAGCAACTGAAGCACATCACACGGAGCTATCAGAGAACTATTCTCGTTCCAAACGGACAGGTTTATGCTTCCGGTTCGATCGGCTACTCTGGCAGTACGAACTTCATTTCCGTCTTTGGTTCGCGTAGTCGGGCCTAGAACCAATAGAAGTAACTGGTGTGAAACAATTAGTCTATACCTAATTCGAGAACGATGAACACACAGGAGACACGTTTCATATTCGGCTTCAGGTCCTTCAAAAAGCAAGTTTGGTCTTTTAAGTCAGCCATTAAATCTCAATTAAAGAGTGTTATCTGGAATCCAGAAAAAAAAACAGTTTCATGAGTTTGAGAGTAAAAGGTAGATTTGCGGCGAGAACAAGAAAGAATATCTATGATTTATCTGAAGGAGTCAATATGATCCAGTGGCAAGTTTATTTCAATCGCTGCAAATATTAACGAAACACTTTCGTGCATGGGTTTTGACTGCCCATTTGGATAAACCAGCTGAATGACTATTGGAACGTTGTGAGCAAGTTTATATAAACTGAACTTTCACGAACAACGGTCGAGACGGCGCTGCTGATCGTGAATCAGTGTGCCATTGGATTCCCTAATTACCTCACTGACGCCTATTTTCCTAGGACTCGTATTCCTAATTAGACGGAAAAGATTGCGACTATCACTGATAGCCGCAGCCTTCTCCATCTCTCTGCACTTCCCTACCCACCACTTCTCGCGGTCATTTCTCAGACTCTTGATGAGCTGGTGTTTAAGGGAGTGAGGGTTCTGCGGGTGTCCAACAGGGCAGCTGAGTCGATGATATGCATTGTTTGTATTTTGAGCTTGAGGCAGGGTCCGACGTTGTTTTTATCGATATCTGCATAGCTTCCTTGATTTGCTCCTAATGTTCATTGAGTCCGTCGGCTGGCGATCGAAGAGCTCCGCTTCGAATGCCGATTCGCATGAATCGCTGACATTGTATCGCGGGTATCCGTTGTCGGTGGCTTTTTGCGGTTGTTTGCCAGGCGTAAGGAGAACTTGGCTCGTAACAAGGCGTGTGGTCTGTATCCACAGCTATTGACCAGTAAGAGCGGCAGTCTTCAATCGATCTCCTCCAGTGGTAACTGATGGCGATGTGATCAATTTCGATCCAGCGTAGTGAAGAGGTTGACGGTTTCCGTGTAAATTGATGGCGTTTCTTGTGCGAGAAGTTCGTGTTTGAAAGGAACAATCCGTGGTCCGTGCACACTTGAAGTAGGCGATCTCCGTTGTCCGTTCGATTGGCTGGGATTGGATGTGGTCCAACAAGAAGCCTCTTTGATTCGTCCAGAGTTCCCACTTTAGCATAGAAGTCTCCGGCGACTACTACGACGTCTGTTGATCAAGCACTTTGGAGTAGTTGAGAAATACCCTTGTAGAATTCATCCTTGATTTCAGGTATACTGCAATTGGTCGATGCAAACGCCGATATGACGAATAAGCATAGACGCTTCGTTCTGTAGCTGTTGACTCGAACTGAACCGTTGAGATGATCAGCGCACAACCGGCTACTGACTGAAATCCAGTCGAGAGGCGAGCGTTCAGCCTCGGCACTTAGCGCATTTCCGACACCAACAACACCGCGAGCTTCGGATGCCGAATCGCCTGACACACGAAGGGTGCAGCGTGAGGTTGAGGTTGGGTCAGGGGAACACAGAGAGATAATGGAAGTGGGGTCTTGTATGCGTGTTTCGGAGACACAACATATATCTACATTGAAAGTTTCGAGGGTTCTAGCCAGGGCAGCTTGTTGGCCAATCTGATAGAGCATGCGGACATTGAACGCGGCTAAGTGAAAAGGGGATTTTGGCTTTAAAAATCCTATAGCTCCTGGTTGCCTGGCCTTGATGGTAAAACACTGACTGATATTCGATGGGTGGCATAAACAGGAGGCATTCGGGACTATTTTGAGTTGAGAAGAACTAAACAGATGGGAAAGATGTTTATCCAAATGGGTGCCTAAGACTTTGGGGCACGACATACTTTGCGGTAGCCCACACTGACGAAGAGGTTTTTCTTTGGGGGCCCTAACCGGAGCCTTTGACTGAAGAGTCTGACCCACAAGGCAGTGGGGCGTAAATCCAACGCGGGAGCGTGAACGAAGCACCCGTGTGGGAGCTTCTGGAGACCTGTCACGCAAGGCCTTTGAATTTCGGTTAAGTTTGTTTTTCGCTGGTGCGTTGATTGTTGGTCCGCTTTTCGGGATCAGCCCTTAGCTTCATGCACCCAATGAGACAAGTGGAACGTGGACGGGACAGCACCTCATTGGTTGGGGGCTGCTCGAATTGGGCATGCGGTCGCTGTCCAATGAAGTCCGAAGACTCCTCCCACCGTCGAGAGGAAGCCACAGGTACCCCGCTCCTACGTCCATCTAGCGGGGTTTGTTCGACCGGTAAAGTGCCTCTCACCGTGTTTATTTGCTGGAGTGGCCTCTCCAGGGGCGGGCGTGGATAGAAGGAAGGAAGCCAGGAGGTGCCCAAGCAGCTGGCTTTGAGACTGAGCTTCTTCTGGCCTCTACCCGTTGACCTTTCAGGCATGATTGGATCTACGGTTTGAGAAGCCATCCTGTGTAGCTCGCAGGGTCATTGAGGTACGCAAGCCATCACACCAGGTCAAGGTGTAGTCTCGTCGCGATAAATATGCTGCAGTCAGTTGATAATATTCTCGAAGGAATGGACTCCTTGGGTGAGATAAATGCAGACTGGGAAGGCTGACTCTCCCAGTGGTTGGCTGTTCTGACCATAGTGTTTTAAGTCCACCTCTGATCAGACAATTATCAAGAGAGACAATCATCTCGCCTCTATACTGGTAGAAGGATATTGGAGAGATGGGCGAACGGCGTTGAGGATAATTTGGGAGAACATAGTTCATTTAATACTTACTTTCATTATACTGCGCCTGACTCCTGAGAAACGATAAACCGGCTCCAAACATGATCATGATCAATATCATGGAGTTCCTTGAGAGTTTGGTACGAGAGAAGTCCCCAGTGTCACTCGGTGTTTTTTTATTATTTTGAGGATGCTCCTCTAGCCTTTGTACAACCAAGTGCAAACTGCAAGATAGCAGGAAGTAATCCCTTGCCGCGGACTTGAGGGAGTCAATGACTTTAGTTCTAAAAGGTCAGTCACGTTGACCGTTGTCACGACACCGTCATTGGGCTTATGCGGCTTTTAAACAGCAGGCAGGTGACCAGTCTGAAACCCACAACACCCTGGTATCGCCGCCGCTTTTTGTTCGCTTTGTTGCTCTATTCCACAACTTATCGATGAGGTAATGAAGCTACAACACACGTACGGCCGCTGCATCCGAGTATGCGAAGCATGTAGGCGTTGTGCAAAAACAAATAGATTGAGCTAAAGAAACATGTGGCACAGAGTATTAAGCCACTTGCATGTATTGCACTAGCAGTATCCGAGGAAATATTTGTGTTAAAACGCGAATAAGGACTAACAGGTTGATGGATGCGCAAGTGAAATTGGTGCACAAAAGTTTCCACCGATATCGAAGTAAACATGTGCTTGTACCCGAAGTAGGGATATGTCTAGTGTGTGAGGACATCATAGTCGCGATCAGCTGTGGCGTTGAAGGGGCGGTAGAAGAGGAAACCTTATGCGGTGGTGCCACTAAGAAAAGCGTTGATTGTGTTAAGAGTTACAGAGAGTTGGTCCTCAACGAAAAGAGGGAATATATTGGATGAATTGTTGGAGTCCTACAGGTCACTGCGACTTAGGGGAAGGAACTAAGAAATTTAACTGCCATTTTGAATTGGGATTGTGCAATTAGTGAGAATGATTCATGCCACAGAGCAAACTCAATCAAGGGCGGTTTCGCCCGTAGATCGTAATGCCAGATGTGATCAAGATCTTTCGCGATACTTAGTGAAACCTTGTGTGTTTCACCGTCTTCGTCGAATGAAGCTGATCAGTAATGTGTAACTAGTGTTCGTAGACTTCCTATGGAACACTGCAGGCGTCAGCCATATTGGCGATCATTGGGTACTCCTTAGCGAGATGTAAACGAAGTTAGTCAGAAATGAAAGTTTCCACAGCCTTCGAGATGGCAGGATTAAGGAAAACGGGACGGTATTTTTCTGGATTAGATGAATTATCTGCCCAGGAATTTAAAAGTTCTCTGACTGAAGAGAGGGGGTGGGAGTCTGTCAGGCATAAACCTGCTAGCATACCGAATTCAGATTACTAGGCTTCGGTGGCTAGGGTACGTATTGCATATGCCCAGCCATCGTCTGCCGCACCGCGCTTTATTTGCTGTAGCTAATCCGGGCTGAAGGAAACCACGCGGAGGTCAACAGATGACGTGAAGACGAGGCATGAAGAAGTTCACAGAGCCATTAGGCAGAGTAGGTGCCTCTCGCCTTCCAGGTTCGGGTCCGAAAGACTCCACAGTTGGTTGGAGACACTGAAGGATATCGCAGCGAACCGGCAGCAGTGGCGTTCTTGTTGTCCTTTCTTATTAGGTCAGAATGCTTGAAACGGTATGTATGCAGAATTCGATTGCGTACTGTGTGTTGACCATAGTCGCTCATCTTCTCCCTTCCTCAAAATAGATCCAACCCCTATCCACCTTGAACCTTGTATGCATTGGGAGTTTGGCAGCGGTCAGTGAAGTTCGCTTCACGGTATTTCGCTGTACGATGATGGTGGGACGGCAAGTGACAAATTGGTGGTACTAAGTCTAGGGAGCGTATTTTCCGGACTAGCAATGTCCTGGTTTGGTGAGTTTTGTATGTTTAATGGATGCAGAGCTTATTAAACCAAAGTTTCAGTTTGAACAACCAGTAACCGTGCATTTTCGTGCTGCGGTTTTGGTCGCTGCTCATTAGAATGAAGGGGTAGAAGGAAGATTGGAAGAATGAGGGTAGTATCAAGATGAGAACGGAAGATTCATGTAGACCAAAGTTACGAGGCTAGTGAGTAAATACACGAGCGTCACTGTTTACAACACCCAACCGCAGCACTAGGTGTCTTTAACCGCCGATTACAGTTAATCCGAGGTCCCCATCCAGGGAGCCTAACACGATCCATATGAGCAAATCTCCGGGGCAGGATTTTCATACACTCATGCCTTGTCTTAGTCTGAACACTGTTTACTTTTTCCCACCCATTATGTGCCTCAATAAATGTCACAACCATCATAATTTATGGAAGTCAATCACTTACTCCGGTGGGCCACTGAGATTGCCTAAAACTACTCCTAACATCAGCACTGCTTCATGACGACACAATATT